AAGCTCTGCAGTGAATATTCCTGCAAAAATGAGCTGGTTTGTGATGGCCTTGCCTTTCTTGGGCGCTCCCTGTACACCTTGATCATCTTTTAGTTTTATAGCTGTCTGGTAGGTTTCTGGTTTCTGGAAAAGGCTTTATTATTAGTTTTTATGGTTTTCAGAATATTGCTTCTTAAAACAGTTTTTGGCCTTACCATGCTTGGATTTTGTGCTGTTTTCTCTTTTTCTCAATTGAACACAATTTCCATTTTCTGAATAATGTCATTTTACTCTTGATTGCTCTGCTATTTAACCATGAGAGCTCCTTTCTGGTCCTTTTTTATAGGTGATATATATTTATTCTAAGCCTCTAATATGGTTCCTTTATGTAATTTCCAAGCAGTTTGTCTTTTTGGTGGCTGCTTTTAATTTAAGTTTAGCAAGTTCCTTTTCCTGTCTTTGGATGGGATAAATCACCTTCCAGAGAGCCTGTTACACAGTCAGGTTGGATTACACACCTAACTTTAAAATGAGGGTACTTTTCAGCCCACAAATCCCTGCTCTGTGTGACCTGCCCCATTCCTAATATAAAAAATAAGCTGTTTTCTTGCCTGGAAACTACAACACTGCATAGGACTCTAGCTAAAAATGAAGCATAATACTGCTTAATTTTCTGACAAATATGTCTAATTAGTTGCATGAATAAAATATTTCTATGTTTTTCTGTTAAAGGTCTTTGTAAAACCACCTGTTTGACCTTTTTTCCCAGTAACTAATATTGACAGTCCTCTGTTATTCTGTTAAAAAAGAGCAAACATTTTCATTTGAGCTTGGTAGATCAGGGGAAATAACTCCACTTCATCAGTCATACATTACTGTAACAAGAAGGAGAAGATCGTCACCGAGAACCCAAACAACCCAATAATGGCTCCCGTCATTGCTGGTGATTTATATCGATTATTTTGAATCTAAAAGTGTGTGTGATGTGACAGAATGTTTGGGGCTGTGAATTACACACAGGGACTACTGGGGCAAGTACCAACTCGCAGAGCGTAGCCTTGGCAGGCGCCGTCTGTTCGTGTCATGGATTCGGTGCCTGCTCAGCGCGAGTGTAATTGGGGGGGACTGATGAATCCTTGTGCCCTTTGTCCCTGCCAGAACATCCACCTGGTGGCCAAGTGGCTGAGTTCTCTGGAGAAGAAACTGGAGCAGCACAGCGAGGGCAGCCACCGGGATTTCCGTGTCTTCATCAGCGCGGAGCCGGCACCCTCCCCTGACAGCCACATCATTCCCCAGGGCATCCTGGAGAACTCCATCAAAATCACCAATGAGGCCCCGACCGGGATGCATGCAAACCTGCACAAAGCCCTCGACAATTTCAACCAGGTAGGAGCACAGTGGGGTTCGTGCTGCTGGACTGGCCGGTGGGTCAGCTCGGGGCTGCTGGAGCCCCATGTACAGCATGACGTGTGTGGGCATTGCCCCTTGCGGGCAGCAGACGTGCGAGTCCCTTTGCATTGTGCAGTCTCTGGATCCAGCAACCCCCTCCTCTCTTCTCCAGCGGCTGGGCACACATCTCTTTCCAAGCACTGATTTTCCCAAGAGGACTTGAACGGCCTCTTCCTTGCAGAAGGTCACAGGATGCCAGACTTCTGCCCACTTTAATCATTTTCTCACCAATGTATGATCCTTAGAAAGGCTATTTTGTTCCAGATTCAAACTTCTGAATGCAGCATTTGGGAGACTTCTGTCATGTCTCAACTTGATTTCTGTGTCTGCGTCACTCCTTCTTGGGCTGGCAAGCGACATATTACATCTAATACCCCAAGACATGGAGAGGCGGGCAGGTTACATCTTGCTTTTTGCCCTTCTGTTAAACCAGGGTTAGAGGTTCAGAGCTGCTGTTACGGTCACATCCCACACCACTCTTCAGAGCAGCGTGGGGGGACTTGGTGGTGTGTGCCCAAAGGCCATTCAGCTCAAAAGCTTGCTGACATCACAAGTGTTGCAAACTAGAGCTGAAATGTCCCTGCAGGGAGGACTTGCTTTGCCAGGCGAGGGTAAAGTAGGCCATCTTGAGAATTGCTGGCCCACAAGAAGAATAGCCGATGGCAGGTTGTTTGTTGCTTTTATTGCATGGTGACCACATACACGTGCTCCTGGTACAGCAGCTCTTTGTTGCTGGAACTGCGGCCGCGTCTCCAGGGCAGGCAACAGAAAAGTGAAGTGTGTGGAAATGACGGGAAATACTCTTTTCTTGGTGCCGCAGAGGGTACGGGTCAATGTTAGAGTCGTCGCAACACAGTGATCAAACGAGCCTGCTTTGTGGCCTCCCTCGGCAGCTCCAGGCACCGCAGGGCAAGAGGCTGCCGAGAGCAGCGGGGCACGGATGGAGCGTGGTGGCTCCCCCAGGAACAGCCTGTTGGAGGCACGCTGGAGCCTGCTGTGTCTCGCTGCTGGCGGCAGCCGTGCTGCTGCTGACCCCGTTGTCCGCATGGCACAAAAGGCTAAGGGCTAACTGCTTGCGTTTATGACGATACCTTTCCTAGCGACACAGGCCATTGCGTTCTGCTGCCCTGAGTGCTCGGTACTTCACTCACACATCGCCGTTGCCTCGGCACGCTGAGCTCGCACAGCAAGACCCCAGCCGTTAAACCTAGAGCAACCAGAAGGGCCTGAAGGTACTGTCACCCCTCAGACTGCCTTTTTTGATCGCTGGTGCTGAAGGTACTATGGCCTCTCCACTCTGCTGATGACTGTGCCGGGAACACGCAGGGCGAGCAGGATTGCTTGCTTTCCTCTCCATACAGCCTCTTGTCGTTTGGGACCAGGCAGGAGCAACCCCAGCCTATTGTGGACCCCAGGCACTGGTCCGTGGGGCAGAGAAATGGGGGCAGCTCACACCTGGGTTTGCATTTAGATGTTGGTCTGGAGGGAATCTGAAGTGCAGGAGCTAACGCTGCTGAGCAGGTGAGGCAGGGAGGCACCACACAAGGATTAATGCGAGTAGTCAGGGAAGATTATTCCATTTTTATCTACTGTCATTCATCATCCTGAACTCCACAAAACGTCCTGGAGAGCAAGGGAGGGGAGAACCTCCACCCCAAATAACATTTTCATCCTGCCTCTGCTCAATTCAATCAGATAGTAATTAGCATTTTCTAAATTGCTGGAGTATTATAAAATGTCTCTTATCAGAAATCCTGAAGCGAGTGGGTGGGGCCCCTTTACACCTCATTTCCCTGCTTTATACAGAATGGATGTTCAAATTTAGCTTTCAGCTGAAAGCTACAAAGAAGGCCCATTATTCTATGTGGGGAATATTGTTCTGCTTTGTAGCTGAAGAAAAATGCACAACTAAATAGAGAAGCCAATGAGACTGAGCTGGATTCTTACTCAGTGTGCATTCAGGCAAGCTCCCCTTGAAGTCCAGGGATTTTCAAAAATGAGAAAGGTGCTCAACACATATTTGAACCAGTTTTTCATCAGGTTCGTGATAATGAAGGGAGCTTAGAGTGCTGTCTCATCAAGGGGAAAACAGTGTTTGGGATGTTCTTTATTCTTTTATGCAGTTAGTTAACGTCTTGCACACTTCAGAGTAATGGATTCTCTCTTTTCAGCACAGACCCTGAGCTCCGTTATGATACCCAGCTGATTAGAGGTCTAGCATTGTATTTTTTTAAGATAGACATAATGAAGGGAAGTCACACAGGCGCCCTTTGTAGTCTGTCACATAGCATAGTGGACTTAAAAGGGCTGTCCCTGGATAGGGAGAATGGAGGGGCTGGTGTAGCTACTCCCTCCTTAAAAAAAAAACTTGCTCAGCTGTGCAGATCACAGCCACCATACCCTGGATGTGCTGTTCCCAGGGAGGCTTTGCAGAGACATGGGTGAAGGTGCAAGGAAGCCCTTCCCAACACGATCATCTCCCAGATCTGGGGAGATCTGTACTGTTGGCTGTGGGAGATCCCATCAGGTTCCGGCCATGGGGCAGGGGATCCGCTGCCCTGCCGCTCTGCTCGTGCCAACGCAGAGCAAAGGCCAGAGCTGTGCAAGCCTCCGCCTGGCTTCAGCCACAGAAAGGGAGTTCATCTTCCCCATGAGAGCTGAGCTTCATCCTGATGCCATGCACACAGCTCCAGCCCTTCGGCCCTTCTGCTGCTCTGCTCCCCGTAAACGGATGCTGTCCCTGCTGGGAACGGTCGTGGCTGCCCAGGCTTCGCCTTGGTGCCCGCCTGCTGAGACGTCACTCCCAGCACAGAGTTCTTTGGAGACCGGTTCCCTTTGTTCATTTTCATTGATTAAATGACTCAGGCTCTCACCCCTCCACCTCTGACATCACAATTCTGCTGATTCATTTGTAGATATTCAAACTTTACACGTCACCTGGAAGTGGGCAAAGGAAGCGCCTGTTGCTGTGCTGGCTTTAAAGGGCTGCATTAGATTTTTTTTTTTTTTGCAAGCATTTGAACTTTCCTGCTTGGATTTGTAGCAGTTTCTCACATCCGTGCTTTGGTGTGCTGCGTAAGGTCGTGCCACCAGCGAGTACGCTGCTGCAGCACACGGCCGGGCTGGCTTTGTGCAGAGGGTCAGAGCAGTGGGAGCACAGCCGTTCTGGGATAACTCCCTGCTGCTTCAGCCCTGCAGCTCAAAGAAACGCTGCCCCAAGGAGAGCTTTTGTACTCAGGACTTTAGTCCTTCCAGGTACAGTCCTCCTCAGCAGGAGCCTTGCTTAGGGCCGCGGTCCCAGTCCCACTGCTGGCACGCTTGCCCTGTGTGATGCCTCTATCCACCTCTCTGGTGTGGGATGTGGGGCACGTGCAGGTGATGGGGCATTGGGTGGGTGCACATGTCCTTCTCTTCTTGGCTGTCAGTATGTGTTCCTGTGCAAAGCCACTTTGAGTTGGAAAAGAAACTATTAATTCAGAAAATATGCATCAGAATTTGCCAATAAATTTGCAATGCAAAGCCACTAACTGAGAAAATTAGTGAATGTGTAGATTATGCCGAAATGAGCTGACTGGGCAAATCAGTGCACCCCTGTCCAAAGTCTGGTGTGTATGAGAGGCCCTGAGAATCGCTGAGACTGAGCGATTACACAGCCCTGCCACTCTGCCTGTGTTGCAGGATACCCTGGAGATGTGCACCCGGGAGAATGAGTTCAAGAGCATCCTCTTTGCCCTCTGCTATTTCCATGCCGTGGTGGCAGAAAGGCGCAAGTTTGGCCCCCAAGGCTGGAACCGTTCCTACCCCTTTAACACTGGAGACCTCACCATCTCTGTGAATGTGCTGTACAATTACCTGGAGGCCAGCTCAAAGGTGCGTAAATCAAAGGTGGGCTGTTTGGTGGCTTTTAACCACCAGTGATGAACTGGCTTGTGCTGAAACTCCTGGAAAGTCTTCTTAAATGCCATTTCCTTGGTCTCTGGTTTTGTAACTTTGCAGTTCGATACACCTTTGCGGTGAGATGGGAAGCTTCAGTGCCACTCACGTCTGTAGCAGCTTACAGATCATAGCGAATAGTGCCTGTGGTCTTTATTCATTGAAAATACATAGTGGTCTTTGGTTTAACAGAGCTTAGAATAAATTTGCATTTCAGTGGGAAACTGCATGAAATCTATCCTGCTTGGGCAGGATTTAACTACTACCTAATGTTTGTTTCCTTAGAAAACTGAAATAGTGAAGTGGAAGCACTCACTGTGCAGATCAGTGCTTAGTGCTGTAGCCTGCAGCTCAGCCACACGGCTGGTGGAGCTCCGGCTGTCTGAACTCCTTCATGCCCTCTTGGTTCATTCTTCAGGTCCCATATGATGATTTACGCTACCTCTTTGGTGAGATTATGTACGGAGGTCACATTACAGATGACTGGGACAGGCGGCTTTGCAAAACCTATTTGGAAGAATTTATTAAGCCAGAAATGCTGGAGGGAGAACTTCTCCTTGCTCCAGGATTCCCCCTCCCAGGGAACATGGACTATAATGGCTATCATCAGGTAAGCTTTTTGTTTTCTGGCATTATTTATACACATAAATGTAATGTCTTCCATAACTGCCATATAATCTTTCTTAGGAGGCAGTGAATAGAACTGCAGTGCTTCAACACACCTCCTGTTATTTCCCATTACATTCTGTTTCTGTAGATGTTTCAGCATTCCCTTGGATGAACCAAGTCTAATGGTAATTTGCTACTTCATCATGGGCTCATTCTGTTCATGCATGAATAGAACAACTGTATTGGTTCTTGAGACTTGAGCGGGGCTCCTGGAAAATTAAATCCACATACTGTTTGCTAAAATGGCCCTTTCAAGTTCCTTTTATCATCAGTTTCGATGAGAAACACTGGTCTTGTGGATTTACTTACTGATCTCATCGGTTCTTTGTACACAAATACGGTAGCAGAGATAGGCATATTAGGCTGGTTTTGTTCATAAAACTTAACTACTAGAAGCTAAATTCCCACAAGAGATTTCAGGATATTGATGCTGAAATGCACAGCGGATAATTGCTAGAGAAGGTCCAGGCCTGAGATATGTAGCCAAGCCAAACTTTAGCAATTCCTAAATTTTCACAGCAGGAGTAGAAGCAGTTCTGTAAACAATCATACATTCTTTTCTCCCATCAGTTCACCAGAGTTTCAGCCGCAGGCAGAGTTATATCAGCTGCGGCTTACTTGGGTGAGTGATAATTCCAGTGCCATGAACTCTGCAGGCAAAGTGCCCTGGACCCTGTATCTAACCTGAACCTGAATTTCTCGGTACAGTACATAGACGATGCCTTGCCTCCGGAGTCTCCTTATCTGTATGGCCTCCATCCCAACGCTGAGATTGGCTTCCTTACCCAGACCTCAGAGAAGCTCTTCCGTGTTGTGTTGGAGATGCAGCCCCGGGACACCAGCATGGGTGAAGGAGGAGTGGTGACCAGGGAAGAAATGGTGAGAGTGGTAGAGGAAAGTGGTGATGAATTTTGATACCTGTCTCATTCCTAAGTAGTCCTGTCTAGCTCAGGTTTGTCTCACAACTGCTTATTATAATGTGATCTGGCTTTGCTGGATACAAAGCCAGTGTCTAAAACCACTAGCCTCATATTATGCAGCACATCACCATGGTGGGATGTAACTGGAGTATTGTCAGTAATAGGACAGTGGCTTTTAATTACCCCCTGAACTGCAGTGCCTTCATTATCATCCTGTGAAGACGTTGCAAATAAACCTTCTGTGGCCTCCACTGTCTCTGAGCCACCGGTCCCTGTGCACCACGCTGTGACTGGCATACGAATGGGCTTGCTGAGCACACTGTCTGCCAGGTACAGTGTGCCACCCAGAGCTCAGCCCACCTCTTACTGCTGCCACCAGGTCCCACCCAGCTCCCAGGCTCCCAGGGGCCTTGTAATTCCTTATTTCCAGCTGAACTCCTTTGCTATGCCTGTGTACCAGGCTGATCCCAGCCCTTCCTCTCAAAACTCACAGCTCATTAAAATCTGGCCCGAGCATTCATAACAGGATCTGAAACCAGCCAACACTTGCTCAGGTTTTTATTTCTGCAGTCTTAAGGTCCCAGCTCTGTGTTTCAAGCTTTTTGAATTAATAAATGGCTAATAGAAAGCTTACATGAAGTCTTTGGTTTCACACATGCTTCCTTTGGTGTGGAGCTGGGCAACTTACTGGCTTTGCCTAAGGGGCTCTTAGAAGTGCTGGGCATGTTCCATATTCAGTTCATACTGGAATTTGAGGTGAGGGGAATAATCCAGAGCTGGCAAAGGAGATGCTCAAAGATAGCAAACATGACTATCTCTTCTCCCCTCCTGGTTCTGTTACTATTGAAATACAATTAAGCTCCTTGGCCGGAGAAGCAAAATTAATAGCGAGTGATCCAGCCGTGATATCACATGGCATCGCTACTCTGCAAACTCCTGGCGACAGTCAAGAAGACCGTCACAGGAGCATAGGAGTCCTCATGGCTTTTGTGATGTGTCTAAGAAAAAAAACTGCCTGAAAGCAACCTGAGTGCTCCCCCACTGCACGGCATTTTGCCTGGGGGGATGCTCCCACAGCCAATTTTCTTCTGGAGGTGATCTCTCTCATTATCTGAGCTATTGGCACTGGCTGTATCCCTTTCACTTGGTCCTTGAATGAGAGTGAGTTAAGAGTTGTCTCTCAGCTCCTCCATTTGAGGATTTCCAACTCGTGGTTTGGCTGAGGTGGTTTTAGGGAGTTTGCAGGGAAACTGTGAGCCTGTCATTTTCCTGAGGCTCTGACAAGTCCAGTTACTCCCACGGGTTTCTGAGGCCACATTACAGAAAATGAGCTGTAATTGTTGTGAAAAAAATCAGAGCCAAAGGGATTTGCAGGGGAATTTCAAATCAGAGGATATTTCTATACTGCACTTGAGGTGCAGCTGAAGAGCTTTTCCAGCTGAGCTTTAATTTTAGCCACCTAGCTGGTTGCAATAACAGCCTACACATCATCACCTCTTTGTAACGTCTGATAGGAGTGTGGAGGGTTTGGAAGAACAGTAATGGGAAGAAATTAGAGTACAGTCCAAAATATGAATGTCGGTGGGCATGGCAATAAAATTACCCTGGGCTGCCTCTGTCACTGGCACCCGCACGCCAGGTGTTGTACATTAGATCTCAGAGTTGTAACTCTGCGTTATGTGTTCCTGAAAAATCCCCAAGTCTTGCTAAGTTTCCAGCTCAGAAGTAAAGCAAAGCATTGTGTAAGAGTCTTCCATACCAAGTAGCCCAATGGTCCATGTAAACCTGAGAGATACAGCTGATCCCATGAAGATTAGGGTCTGCATGCTTCATTGTCAATCAGAAAAGTTTTTGTCTGTTTTATTTATTTTTTAGACACTAGAAATATCCTGTTGCAGTGGAGATTTCCCTGTTTAGTATTTAGAGATACAAAGCACTGTTTCAAATCCAGCTGTAATATTGACCAGAAGATAATTTTGTTTGATTATGCTTTTCTTCCATGGTTCAGAATGCCAAATTCAGCTTAAAATTCAATTTTATATAATCACCTCTCTCTATCAATATACCACAGAAAAACAGCTCATAAGCTTAGTTGTCCTGAGGCTCAGCTGAGGCTATAGCCCCATCCATCTTCTTGCATTGAATCCGACCTTAGGAGAAGTAAGAATACAGGCTCAAGACTTGAGAAGAAAGGAGACTGCTACATGTCATAGTGACAGTTTTAAACCATCGTTTTGAAAGCTTCTCATCTGACATTAACTTTCGTAAGCATTTGAATTTTAATAGGATGGGGCAAGCTCTTTGAAAGGTGCCATGCCCAGCGCAGCTGACACTCATTGTTTTCAGAGACACTAGCTGGCAGATGTAGTTTTCGTGCCGCGTTCAGGCAGCTGTCAGCTGAGGAAGCCCAGTGGGTCACTCACGACATCCCTCTCTCTTCCCTTCCACCCTTTCACCACACAGGTGAAAGCTCTTCTGGAAGAGATGTTAGAGAAATTGATGGATGAGTTTAACATCGCAGAACTGATGGCAAAGGTGGAGGAGAGGACGCCGTACGTTGTGGTTGCCTTCCAGGAATGTGAGCGCATGAACATCCTCACCAGTGAAATAAAGCGCTCTCTCAAGGAACTGGATCTGGGGCTGAAGGTAGGAGCTCTGGATGCTTGTGACTGCAGCATCGTAAAATCTTGATGAATGGAAAAGGTGCTCAGGGAATAAAAGGGGTCACACTGTGCATTCAGCACTGCTGGCTGCAAAACCAACTTGACTCCACGGGGAAGGGTTCGCAGATGGATTTCCAATAGCACATTGTCCATGAGCTGAGGCACTGCGAGAGGTTAAAGATACACATAGCAATGACTGCTTTTGGGACCAGAGACCAGGCACTTCTGTCCACCCGATACTGCAGCACAGCAACAACAGGTCACTCAGAAACTGAGATGTGGCCTACTTAAAGGTAAGCCAAAAAAATCACACCTTTTTACAAAATGCTCAGGTACTGTGGGGAACTTGTAACAAAGTGTCATGAAAGGCACAAGCTGAGCTGAAATCAAAGAAAAGATTGGTCATGTGTAAGGACACAAAACGTCCAGAGCTATAAGAGAAAAAGCCTAAAAACTCAAGAGTTTTGGAAGAGAGATGACTCTCCTTGCTGGGTATGAGTCATTTGCTAATGGAGGAGGGTCAGGACCAGACCTTCCCTGTGGAGACACTATCTATGATTACTCCACCCACAGCTGCTTCTCCACCCTCGTAAGAAACTGAGCTTTGCTCCAGGAAGGTGATATCTGTGTCCCTCTGGGTGGTGGCTTTGGCCATTGTAGATGGAGAATAGTGAGGAGCTCTGGGACTGGCAGGATGTGCCGGGTAGGACGCAAATATCTGTGTTCAGCGGGATGTGCAAGAGGGCTGTGCTTTGTGGCTGCATCCACTGGTAGGGGAAGTAATCTGCTGAATCTCCTCCCAGGCAGTTGGTGGGACAAAATATAAAAGGCCACTTACTGCCCATTATGGGATAAACCAGCATAGATCAGACTGCACTGCAAGTAAGTCAGAACCTGCCTCGCCAGCCCTGGTGCCCTGTAGCAACATTTCCCCTTCACCTTGTCATCCCAGAAAACTCTTCACCATAGCCAAGTGCTGTACATCCCTTGGAAAGGCCGAAGTGTAGCAAAGGAACCCTGCCTGGAGCTTGCAGAACAAAGATGGTGGCTTCTATGCTGCCCCGATGCCTGATGCCTTCCCTGCATAGGGTCATAGAATGGTTTGGGTTGGAAGGGACCTCAAAGGTCATCTAGTTCCAACCCACCTGCCAAAGGCAGGGACACCCTCCACTAGAACAGGTTGGATCATCAACACAAGCTGCTCCCTGGATGATTTCATGGTGTGAGGCAGCAATTAAGGATATCAGTTGCTGGGCATTCCCTGCTCCATCGTTTCCTGAATGACAGGTTGCCATCCCATTTCACCAAAATGCTCAGCTCACAAAAGTACTTTGCATAGCATGGGAACCATTGCACTTAAAGGAACTGAAACTACTTTGTGTGACCGCATTAGTAGAAGGAACTGACAGGTGAGCGAGGACGACCTGTCTTGAGACTGAGTGACATTCCCAACCCTCTCCCGAGGGCAGTTTTGAAGAGAGATCTTCAAAGGACGTATCTGCAGCGTGCACGCAGAGGTGCTAGGGTTGGCTCTGGGATTTTAGGTAGCTGCAGCTCCACAGGGATAGGACTCGGCTGCTTGTAAATCCCAGCTGCGATGTGCTGTACACTGTGAACCCAGCAGCTTGGGTCCACGCTAGCTCAGACATTTCTGCATTGCGTTCACTGCTAGATGCTTATTGTCTTGATTAAAGAGAGAGACATACCATATACACTTCGTGGTGGCCCAGTATGTACAATCCATTTTAAAATAGGCTGATATTTATGTAGTCAATTACTATAAACAGATTTCCTTTATTTTCTAACATAAGGCAGTGGAATTGAAAATTCTGTTTCCTGAGACAGGTAAATAGAAGTGATCTAATATTTCAATCCTGGAGCACCAAACAAGATATAATTGTAACTGGGACAATGTGTAGCAACTAGATTTAATGTGGAGAAGAATAAGCTGTTTAATATTGGTAGGGAGAATGAGTGGATGCATGGGTTTAAATAAACCACAGACAAAATAAAGCACAGAAATCAGGCAATAATAGAGGGTGCAAATTTCTCCCCCAAACCCTGCCACAAATTGTGGCAGGGAAGTGAGATGGTATCTGCAGAAAAGGCACCTATGCATTGCTGCATAGGTTGGTCCCAACAGCCTTAGCACCTATGATGTGACTGAGAGGCACCACAGGGCCAGGACTTAAGGACTACTGAAGGGCAGATGAGTAGCAGTATCTATTTGTGTTAGCATTTCGTCATCTTGTGTATGCTGAAAAGACAAATTTGAAGGGTCTGAGATACCACCAGTGGGCAACTCTTCCGTGCCTGCAAGCAAAGGTTGCATGTGGGTCCCTGCAGAGCTGAGTTAGACATCGTGCATGACCCACACTGCTGCTCAGCATCCCCCAACTGGCCCTTCCCCTGCCCTGGGTACCACATAACGGCCAGGGGATGCTTGACCCTGCTGATGGCTCTTTCTGTAGGCAGTGCTGCTGCCCTGACTTGACAGCTAGGTCTCACACTCAGTTTGGGAGAGAAATCATTCTTTAATTGTTCCTTCTGAGAGCAGCTCCTCTGTGAGCTGTTAATGCATGTTAATCTTTGGGATTGGGGATCTTTACTGACAACACTGAGAGGAGGAGAGTTTACATAACAGGAACTACAGATCTCAGAAGAGAATAAATAAAACACAGAGGAAGCAAGTCTTATTGTTTTTAACTGACTATCTGCTAAAAGAAGGCGATTTGGAAATGTCATGCCTAATTTGAATTTTTGAATAATTCATTGTGTCTGTGTAGCGGAAAGTGATTGTTTGGTCCAAAAATAGGAGACATCCCATTAAGAGGAAGAGAAATTGGAATAGACTGGTAGCCATCAAAACTAACTGGCATGTTGCATTTCAAAGCACTTCGATGACTTAGGTGAGACCAGAGGCTGGGCTGAAACATTTGCATCTTAATGTTGTACCCAGTGTAAATTTTGCAAGTAGATTTTCTGTTTTGCAACTTCAGTGAAGGATAGGCCTCCAAAATGAGGATTATATATATTTGTCCTGGTTTTGGCAGGGATAGAGTTAATTTTCTTCCTACCAGCTGGTATAGTTCTGTGTTTGGGATTTAGTATGAGAATAATGTTGATAACACACTAGTATTTTAGTTGTTGCCAAGCAGTCGAGGACTTTCCAGCTTCTCATACTGCTCCACCAATGAGAAGGTGGGCGGGGGACCAAGAAGCTGGGAGGGGGCACAGCCAGGACAGCTGTCCCAAAATGACCAAAGAGATATTCGATACCACATGACATCATGCTCCGTATATAGCTGGGGGGTTGGCCGGGAGGTGGTGCAGCTCAGGAACTAGCTGAGTATCAGCTTCAGATGGTGAACAATTGTGCTGTTCATCACTTGTTTTGTATATTCTATTATCATCATCATCATCATCTTCCTTTTCTGTCCTATTAAACTGTCTTTATCTCAACCCACGAGTTTTACCTTTTTTTCTTTTCTGTTCTCTCCCCCATCCCGCTGTGGGGGAAGAGTGGGCGAACGGCTATGCGGTCATTTCAGCTGCTGGCTGGGTTAAACCACAACAATATTATAAAAGAATAAAATAAGAACAAATTTTGTAAGGCTAGCTGGGTATTTCACTGTATCAAGTGAAAATAACCTTAACTGAGAAAACAATTTATGACAATAGTCTGCTCATCTTGAGGGAATGTCTGCAGGCTGGTTAGGATTTCCTTCAAGGATGTCTTTAATGAAAATTACTCCCAGCATTTTGGAAAAAAAAAAAGTAACTTGAATCATTTTGGATGCACTTTAGTATTCAGCATCTGAAATGCAAATTTATGCATGATTATGTTTGGACAACTATATGAGATAGCTGCTATAGATGCTTTGAACCCTCACAGGAGATTCCAGCAAGTACGCTTGAGTGCGCAGTCTTTAAAAATTGCTTTTCTTAAGCCTTCCTGAGAATTACATTTGCTAATTCATTTGTTTCCTGAAAATAAAACTAGACAGGATATATGATCATGACGGTTATGTCTTTAAATCAATTTGACTGCTTGCACACATCTTGCAATATTTTTACCCACTTTAAAACCTTTCCAGGTGTGCAAAATAGTTCTGGCTGTCACTATTAGAAGACCCTGTGGTTCTCTGTCCCACTATGACCAATGCAATACTTTTCCCCTCAGACTTTTTTTTTCCCTGTATGGTCTTGCCATGGCTTTGGCCAGAGACCAGCCTCTTGAGCATGTTCTCTCAGGGTCTAAGTTGTCCAGGGATGGGAGGTGATGACCCATGTAGTATGAATGAAGAAGGAACCACAATGATGCATCAGAGTTCACGTGCCAACAGAAGTTCGTAAATAACAAAGCCGTGGCAGCTGCCCCCTGAGGAGGTCAAATCATTTTGACAGCCTTGTGAAACTCATTACCAGACCCTCTGATTAGACATGGCCATGCTTTTCTGTTGTGTGAGCTTTAATTGTGGGTCAGTAAATTGTCTTAAAGTGTGTTTAGATAATGTGAAAGAGCTCAGGTGCCTAAGAGGAAATGCACGGGGCATGCACTGCGTTTGTATTTCTTTGTCACTTCATGGCAAATACCAAAATGAGAAATCTTTAATTTGTGTTTGACCCTTGTGCTTGGAATTACCCAGGATTTTGAAGATCTTTTAAAAGGTAACCCATCATTTTGAGATTCCCTACAAATGTAAAACCATTGAATAGAAATAATGAGATGATTTACTGGCAGAGACTTACCTGGCCTCTGCTCACATGAAATGACAGAAAGTGATGTGTATTTTGAAAGGTGGTTACAGTTGTTCCTCATGTTCTAGGACTAATTCCAAATAATCCTTCCACCTTTTCATTTAACCCTATTTGTCGCTTTTAGCTTCAAGACTGTTAAAACAAAAAAAGATCTTAAAACCTTTGTACATGTGATTTTCTCTGTCCGTGAGAAACCTGTTCTCCACGGGTTCAGATGCTTGCTTCCTTTAAATGCTTACTACTTTTAACAAGTCATCTTTGCAGCAGAGATTTAATAATGCCTTGAACTAGTCCATCCTGTTGAGAGATGACCACTTCCCAGGGAGGGGATTTCTGCGTGGGAAACCACAGATCTCTGGGGAGCAGCTCTGAAGGGGGCTCCCAGGGCTGCAGTGGCTTCCAGGCACGGGGGCAGTACAAAAGTGCTCTCAGCTCTGATTTGAGTTGGTGGGTGCTCGGGAGACACATCCCCTTGAAGTACTACGCTTGCTTCTTGCCAAAGTGAATTCTATTGTGGATGTTTAGAAACTTTTACAGGGTTAAAAAAAAAATAAATTAAAAATGAGAAAGATAAGTGCTGCTAAAAAGCCAGAAGTGCTAAAGTGGACATTTCCAGTGCCTGGATTCAGCTGACACTCTTCCTCCCTTTGGTAAGACACAGTGTGTGTGGTAGATGTGCATTCAAAACCTTTGTCTTAGCTGTCATCCGGCAGCTCTGAAGGTGGCATTTGCAACAGCGTGGTTAGGTCAGAGCTTTCCCTGTCCGATGACAAGTTCTCTTCCAAGCTTGGGAGTCTGGTGTCTTTGCAGTGTACTTCCTTGGAGAAAATGCTTGCTAACCCAGGAGCGCCAGCGTGCTCGTTTGCACAAGTCTTGATCACTCAGCACTGAGCCTGCTCCCACTGGTTAGTGCCGGATGCAGTGTGGGCCATCAGCAAGGGCACTCGTTATTGCTCTCCCATGGTCTGGTTGGGTGTCCAGCTGTGATCTTGTCCTGCTGTAGCCTGTCAGTGTGATCTGCAGATCAGAGCTCTGTGGGGCATGGTCAGCATAGGAATAAACTGCAAAGAGTTTTACCTGCCGGACTCTGAGAAGCCTTGCTGACCGTGTGTTGGGGTTGCTTTAAGCGGATTTCAGCTTTTGCTAAAGCTTCATAGATTTTTGTGGCCCCAGTAAAGGGCACCTCTGCTGACCTCATGGCTGGAGGCACTGAAGTCCTCTGAAAGAACAGTTGGAATTTTTTAATGTGAATAGACTGACCCAATTCCCTCGCCCTCATTCTCAGCAACGGCTCAACTGATTTCAGTTAATCTTTCCAGAAACACTCAGCCTGAGGCAAAGAGAAACTGTAAGTCAGATAAATCTTTAGCAAAATAAGGAGACAAATGTAAATATTTATAATGGAAATCAGTGATCAACATTAACTATAAGTCTCCAAACTGCTATGGTGTGTTGTACCCCTCTAGCTCAGCATGGGGCATGCAAAGATTTAAATTCTGAAGAGCATTACGTGCCTGTAGAAGTTGAGTCTGCATTTGCAAGTTTTTGTCTTTGCTGACTACTTGGCTGGAGTGTCACAGAATCACACATCAGTTGTTCTGGAGATCTTCTAGTCCAACTCCGTGCTCAAAGCAGGGTCAGATAGAGCAGGTTGCTCAGGACCATGCCCTGCTGGGTTTTGAAAATTTCCAAGGATGGTTACCTCTCTGGGTAACCTGTTCCAGTGTTCAATTACCCTCACAGTAAAAAAGTTTGTACTTCTGTGTCAGTGGAATGTCCTGTATTTTCAATTGTTCCCATTGCCTCTTGTCCTGTCACTGGACATCACTGCGAAGAGTCTGGCTCCATCTTCTTTGCACCCCACCATCAGATATTTATAGATATTGAAATAAACCATCCCTAAACCATATCAATCTTGAGGCTGAACAACCCCAGCATGCCAGATGTGGCCCCACTGGTGTTTAGCAGAGTGCTGCCATTAACCTGCTGGCAGTACTCCTCCTAATGCAGCCCAGGACGCTGGTGGACTTCTTTGCTGCAGGGGCTCATTGCTGATCCATGGTCAGCTTGTTGTCCACCAGGACTCTCAGGTCCTTTTCTGAAATTGCTTTCCAGGCAGTTGGTCCCCAGCGTGTACTGGTGCATGGGGTTATTCCTCCTCAGGTGCAAGATTCAGCATTTCCCTCTGTTGAACTTCATGAGGTTCCTCTCAGCTCAATTCTCCAGCCTGTCCAGGTCCCTCTGAATGTCAGCACACCCATCTTTGGGTATCATTGGTAGCCTTGTGGAAGACTGTAAGGGGGTAGTAGTCTGAAGGCTGGACAAACCTCAGCAGTCTTTCCACAGTGTCCTGGATCCAAGCTCCCAGCATGCAGTAAATGTTCCCAGACAGCAAGACAGGTTGGCAGATGGGGACCTCTGTCCTCTGCTGTTGTTGCTGTGCAGAAGCCCTTTCTGGCCATGCAGTGGTGTTCCAGCTCTTCTCCTGCCTGGACAAAACTGATACAGGTCTTTCAAAGCTTTAAAAATAATTAATTGCTGCATAAAGGAAAAGCCAAACGTCTCTCTATATCTCACTTGGCTGAATCATATTTTAGTTTGTTGTGTGTTCCCTGCTGTGAAAGAAACTGTGATTACATTTGCAGACATGTGAAGTCAAAAAAAAAAGAGAAAAAAGACTTGCACTGCAAAGTAATAACAGAGGAGGGGAGTGAGGGGAAGTGGAGGAGAGGAGGGGGTGTGCTCTTCCACACTTCCTTACCCAGCCTCTGCTTTCAAGCAGGCTTTGTTCAGGTTAAACAGTTGTCAGTGCTAATTACACCCTTTCTCACTCAGGGAGAACTGACCATGACAAGTGACATGGAGAATTTGCAGAATGCCCTCTTCTTGGACACGGTGCCTGAGTCCTGGATAAAGAGGGCTTACCCTTCCACAGCCAGCCTGGGCACGTGGTTTGCTGACCTCCTCACTCGCATCAAGGAGCTGGAGGCCTGGACGGGAGACTTTTCCTTACCCTCTACAGTGTGGCTTGCTGGGTTCTTCAATCCCCAGTCTTTCCTGACAGCCATCATGCAGTCCACAGCCCGAAAAAATGAGTGGCCTTTGGACAAGATGACGTTGCAGTGCGATGTGACAAAAAAGAACAGAGAAGACTTTGCCAGTCCTCCTCGGGAAGGGGCATATGTCCACGGTTTGTTCATGGAGGGTGCGCGCTGGGATACACAGGTGAGCTCACCAAGGCTCTTGTGTTGAGAGGGAAGCCATGGATGTTCTGCCCTTATTGCTTGGTACTGTACTCTGGGCAACTTTTCAGCCCAGACTGGTGCTCATCTAAAATTTGAGCTGCCTCTTCAGGAATGGGAAAGATGTCAAAGATGGGCCTCTTAGAGTGGGCATCCAAGGTGGTCAGATGAACCACTCCTTGGTTTGTTTCATGGCTGTGAAGGGAGTTCAGAGTGGCCAACTTAGACTGATACATCTCGGTTCTACAAGGTGCATCTCAACCTCCGTGTACATTGACTAAACTGTGGTCACGGTGTTACTACAGAGAGAAAACATGGGGTCCCCTCAGGGCTGTATTGTCCCTGCACCTGCACATGGTTGTGATTTCGCTGCTACCTCCAAAAGTGACATGGCAGACTTTTGCATTGTCATTACTCTGTCACCTATTTAGCAGCAGTGAGGAGAAAGTGACTCCCTACGTGTCCCCAGAGCTGAATGCGTGTGATGTGCCAAATCCAGACTGCTGTCCTTCCGCTGTTGGGTGCTGCAGGATGTCATCTGCTTAGATAGAGCTTGTGGCCCAAAATTAATCACAACCTTTAGCCATCCCTTTAGCGTGGCAAATAAAGCTTGCACAAAAGTCTAACCGAAACGGTCAAGGAGGACTCAGGCTGATGACTCAGCTTGGGGGGTGGGCTGATCCTGGACAGACAGTGGGGGTGGCCCTTGCTCTTCCTCTTTCCCCTTCTGGATGTGGCCCAATGCCTTTCGGTTGTAGCACAGCCAGCCTCAGGGCAGCCAAGGTGAGAACCATACCCTCCAACCGCGCAGCTGAAGGGAAATGTGTACTTGCTGTTTCCTGCCCGTATGGCTGTCAGCGCTCCTCTTGCAGCGCACCTCTCAGCGCAGCATCCCAGAGGAGCACAACTGTCCCTGTCATTCCTTCTGACAGTTGTCAGCTGTTAAGAGTGCAGTCTGCAGAGTGAGAGCCATTAGGCTGACAAATCCCCACTGGGCTTGGTCCTCTGAGTTGCCTGGCCTGTGGTACCATGACTCCCAATTTGTGCTGTGTCTGGGAGTTAAATGACAGTGATTCATGCAGCTCTCACTCTGGGCAGCCAGTGCGATGTTCCTGCCACCAGTGATCTGTGAGGGAGTGAAGGCTGATCAAAGTGGGTCACCCAGAACTTACTTATCTGTGTCAAGTTTGCCCCCTTGCAGGAAGAGGCTTTTATTTCAGAGGCAGCCCTTTAGAGTCTTAACCTTGAAGATCCTCCTTCATCTGTTGTGGGGCTTGGTGGCAGGATGATGAGGAGAGAGGCCATGCCTCTTATATACCATATCCCAGCCTGACCTTCCAATTCAGATCTAATACTTTCCACTTACTTTTCTGCTCCCTCTCTGAAATAGTTTTCCACAAAGGATAGGAAATTAGGCAAAGTTTTGAACTCACAGACTGATGGCATCCGGTGCATTTTATCAAAAATCCTTGGGAAGGTCAAGGATCCATTTTCTCTCTGGAAATGGGCTGACGTGTGCATTGGGTCTGGAAAGCCACAGGCAGTCAGGAACATTGGCAAAGGCTCTGTCAGAAGGTTGCGGTAAAGATCTCACGTGGGTATAAGGTCAGATCTCCTGCCTCACTGGTTTTGGCTCTGCTGATAGCAGAACAGAGACCAGCCCAGTCCATTTCCCAAGCCCTGGTCCTACAGTTCCCTGCCTCTTCCCTTGTCTAAGCCTTTGGTGTCGTTGCCATACAAAACCCCTTGTAGCTCTTGGAGATCACAGCCTCTTACTACAGGGAGCACTGGATTTCAGTTACTCTCAAAACCTGACATTTTAAGCTGATACAAATCAGCTGGACACAACAGTACAGAGAAAGTAAAAAAAAAATAAAAAAAAATTCCTGGTCTTGCATATCAAATACTCCATTAAAAACAGATTCCAGTGGCTGCTGTTATGTTTTACTTTACATCGTTACCACCTTTATTAGAAAATAAAATGGTCCAAATGGCTGAGCTCTGCCTAGGTTTTACCCATCCCCAAGTGGTACTGGAAGTGAAGAGTGAGAAGTTTTGGTGGTGCAAAGCCAGAAATCTTTTGGGAAACACATGGCTTCTCCCTTCTGCCTCCCTCAGGTAATTTGTATAGGTGATTGCATTCAGCAATGAGGTTTGTTTTCAGACACCATCCAGACTTTGGTAAATGTATTTTTCTGGTTACATTTTCCTTGTGATTGAAAGATACTGAGCAATTACATTTATAGAACCATTCATAATCTCTGGGTATCATGCTTCAATTTATTTCAGAAAGGAAAATAGTATTTTCATATGTTGCTGCTCACAGTGAAATATCATTTCCACCTAGTGAAACTATTCATTTTACCTGTAATCCAGTGAGCACTAGTATATATTAATGGGTGCCATATTTTAAAAATGAGTGTACAGTGCTTTTGGGTTGTATACCCTTTCCAAATTAATCCTCTGATAAGAATGGCGGGTCATGTTTAGAAGAACTCCTCTGGGGAACACCTCCACTTTTAAAATAATGTTTCACATTTAGATTGTGCCTCCCAAAAAGGAAAAAGTCCCTCTATGTTCTGCTACTCACCTTTTTCTATTTATTTAAACATTTATGTTTGCCCTTGGGTGCCTTAAATTTGTAAAACATTCATTACAAAACAGCAGGCAGCTATTATATGAAATGAAACCAAACAGGTTATTTGAGGTCCAAATGATCTGTTGCTGTAGCACCATTAAAGTCAGCGGGAGTCTGTGAGAGAGCATTCAACTGGTGACACCAGGAGACATTTCATCTCAGGCCATGGGAGATTGCCGACTGATCCCTGGCTTTCTTGCTCCCAGCAGTGGAGAGTGTGATGCCCAGGATGTGCCCTGCTACTCGCCAAGGGCGCTGGAGCTTGACGGGACAAGGGCAGAGGTGGGTTTTGCACACACGTGCCAGGTGTGGACAGGCCAGCACCTTGTCCTTGAAGAGATGCACAGTCTGTGCTGAGCGATACTGAGGGTACCGTGCCTCCTTCAAGCTGCAACAGCTGTGGTTTCTGTGTACTTTTTAAAGCTAGTCCTATGTAGAGCACCAGTCTTAAACCAGTAGAGAGGCCTAGAAGGGCAGATCTGTGTGGCAAGGAACGGACACATTTATTTGACAGTTCAAGTAGCTCGATATCTTTGGGAAGAGTTGCACATCACTGTTTTTTATCTGAGACACTCCCAGCAGTGGATGCAGATGAAAATAACATCACTGTGCAATGCAGCCCTGGCAGAGCCCAGTTTCTTCTGCAGAGGCATTAGGAACTTCAAATCTCATGCATCAGAGATCAACATTTTTCCCAGAGAGGTGATCTGGGACATCATACAAAGCCTTTTTCTGCAGATGTCAACTGTCAGTAGTGCCCATGTATTTGTGAGCTACCAGAGTGGGAGTAGGATGTGGCTCAAGCTGAGATCTCCAGTGATAAACTCACAATGCAGCCATGGAGGGGACACTTGCAAATTGTCCTGTGCACAGCCAGTCTCTTATTTATGGTTGTTTTGAAAAATTAATAACTTGGCAAACCCTTTTCTATCTGTATCTCAATTCTTAAACTACTCAGTGATAAAAATTCCTCTCTCATTTGGCTTTGCTGGACAGCACATCATTGGGTCTTCTTCACTGTGTTCTCCATGGATGGCTCTTTTTCTCATTCCCTCATATCCAGTTGAATCTCTGGACCACCTTGGAGTGATGTTCCCTGCTGGCTACACTGCTAGTCAGATCATCAGCCCCCTTCCCGTGCCAACAGAAGCAACTCTACTTGAAAGACCACCAAGCTGTGCTGAAGGTCTTTAAGCTGACTGACCCTAAATTAGCTGTGGGGCAGGTGTGCCTGTGCTAGAAACACCTCAAAATGCAGTTGAATGGAGGGGATATTGGCTTACTGTGTATGTTTTTGGGCCCATCTATTAGTCAGCCTGGCTTGTGGCAGCTGTTTTGTGTCTTTGGACCTGTCAATATGTGGCAGTCTAATATGCCCACACTTCACATTGCCTGTTGAGAAGCCAGGACAAGCAGAAGTGAAGACTTCTTTAGGATCTGAGGGCTGAGCTCTCTGAGCACTGAACAGTGGCTTTTTACCCGGTGTGCTGTGCCAGTAGTTAGGGAAAATTGCTTTCAGAGTAGCATTAATGTCTGATGATGAGAGCAATAAAAAATGCAAATGCAAATCAGCCCAGACTTAACAAAATGATATGTTCCACAGAGATACCTCAGGAAGATTTCAACTCTTGTTAACCCAGAAATAGGTAGAATATATCTTGGAAATTTGATTTGAAGAATTTTCAGCAGTAAAAAAAAAGAGATCTGATCAAAATCCAGCCTCAGAAATGAAAGATGTGTATTTAAAAAGAGCACATAATAATGCTTGATAAATAGCTTCTTTGCAAGATATTATAAGAATTATTGGACATTGGAAATATACAATCCTAAATCAGAGTTGGATTTATCATAGGTTAGTATAACAGATGGCATTAGTACAATTAAACCGAGGTATGTTGCAAGAGGGATTATTTTTCTTCTCTCATTTGCAGAACTAAATAAACTATTGGAGAGGTTGAATCTCATCCCACAACTCTGATCTAAGAGCATTTAAAATAATAATGATATGTGAAGCTAAGCTGGAGTGAGAGGCAGTTTCTTTAGCACTGAGAAGTTTTATTTCCATTTCTATATTTGTTTTCATTTGGTCTCTCTAGCCTCCATTAAGCAATTTTGCAGGCTTTCCTGGAAATTGATTGATATGTAGGGCATTTTATTGTCAGAAAGAGAAACAGAAGTCGCCAGAGAGACCCAAGTTAGAGAAACAAGCCGTTGATTTCATGCCCTGGCAGCATACTATCCTTCTGGGTCGGGCAGCCTGCTGAGCGAGATCATTGCTTTGAAGAGGATAATGTGAATTGCTGTTTAATGATAATATCCCCTCAGGAACAGTCCTTCTGAATGCCCCTTGCTGGTGTGAGCACCTGTGAGAGAGGAAACAAGCCTGTGGTGTCTTTTGGGGCCACACAAAACACTGCATGCATTCATTGCCCAGACCAGTGTATGCCAGGTCATGCTCAAGTTTTGGTGGTGTTGGTGAGACACTTGGTGCCTTTTAGACTCTTCTCAAGTGAGCATTGTTCTCCATCCCGAGCCCTGTTTGGGTGTCCACAATTGGTCCTAGCACAAGCAATGCTTCCCACGAGGTGGTTCTGGTCTGGCAAAACTTTGAGTAAGAGCCGCACAAGGATGATGTGGCTGAACATGGCAAAGTTCCCCTGCAAAGTCCTGCTCAGGTGTGTGTGGGTTTGAACATCTGATGAGAGCAGGCATGTGTACCCTTGGAATAAGCTACGCTTGGGGGAGGCTTCTGATGAAACCGGGTAGGTGTTTGATCCAGATCCTCCCTACCTCAAAGAGACCCATCCACCCCCTTGATCTCAGGAAAGATGTTTTCACTTCCCCAATAAGACCAACTTGTATAAACTGTGCAGAGGATCATGTGTATCGGGGTACAGCTGATGGATATCTTGGAAATCTAACTAAGACTTTGTCTTCTTTCCTTTGTAGACTGGGATAATCACAGATGCCAGGCTCAAGGAACTAACCCCGGCCATGCCTGTCATCTTCATCAAAGCCATTCCTCCTGACAAACAAGATATCCGTAGTAATTACCCATGTCCTGTATACAAAACACGGCAAAGAGGGCCAACTTATGTGTGGACTTTTAACCTTAAAACTAGAGAAAGTCCTTCCAAGTGGGTGCTCGCTGGTGTGGCATTGCTGCTACAGATCTAGGCTCACCAGCAGCGCACCTTATTTGCAAATCCCTAATGAAATCTTTCTCAGACAATTTAAAAAATAATATCCTGAGATTGAAGCCAAGCTCCATCTCTCTGAGACCTGGGCACAGCCTAAATAGAGCCTGCAAGGAGGTGACAGAGGTGCAGAGGGACACATGGACCAGATTCTTGGCTGCTGTAAATCAGTATCCTGTAATTCCTACCCTGCTGCGCTGGAGCACTGGAAGATCCCAACCCACAGCCAGATCTTCTGCACCCAGAGAGTGCTAAGCTCAAATCTGAATTGAATGTTGATTTCTCTTTCGTGATCCAAAGTAGTTTTAAAGTCAGTGGCCTTCTCCAAAAACCTTAGATAGTCCAGTGACCTGTGAAATTCTTCAGACTTTGTTCTTTTCTATACACAAGTGTTTCTTTGTGTAATGTTGAAAATTGGGAGATCAGCAGGTGCCTTGGATATAAACTTTTGCTTGCTAATGTTCCTGTCAATTTTAGAAACATTGAAAATAGTGTTAATATCCAATGTGCTTAATGTATTCAACAGTAAAAATACAGCACAGGGATTGTTTAAGAAGAATATTTCATAATGATAGAAATATACTAATAAAAATCATTGTTCCTGGACTAGTCTAAAAATTGCCTGGAGGCCTGTATCACACGTTTGCTTGCTGTGTGGAGTGCGTGCAGGGTCAGGTGGGACAGATGCGGCCGTTTGGATAGTTGCATTTATAGTGATGAATGGGGTGGGTGGGAACTTATGTGTTTCTCGAGCAGGAAGCACAGAGAGGGGTGACCGGGGTGTGCGTTGTCCTAGAGAGCCAGACACGCAGAGCACTGCTCTGGACTGCCGGAGCTGAGCACTTGGAAACTAGGCAAGGCGAGCAGTTAGGTTGGTTGCCTGGGGAAATGGAGCCGTGCCGTGCTCTCTGTGCAGTCTGCAGTGCTTTGCTGCGCAGCACAGGACCCTGCCTCTGTCTAATATTTGCTGTTTCTCTTCCTTCCCTGGTGCACAGTACCCTCCTGCCCCTCACCATGCAGGTAGTCACGGGTTTTTCATCCGTGGGGTTCACTGCCATCTCTGAGCGTGCTGCAGGTATCAGCATGTGTGTCAGCAGGAGGGAAGGGGAAGATGGCAGCTGTGCAGAGGATTTGGTCTCACTGGAACTAGCACCGATGAGCACCCCCAAACTTTCCCACCCTAACCCAATGCCAGATTACAATCTCACAGCCAGACTCAGGTCTCCATCACGGACTGTGACCCTCCTTTAGGAATACTACAAAGCCTGCTACTCAGATGAATTCCTAAAGTCAATGAGCACCTCGACAAACACTACCTCATCTTGAGAGGTCCCCACTCGCCAGAGTTGGCTCTGAATAGGCTCAGGTGTTTAGCACCAGCTGGGGAAAGGGGAGGATCGCCAGCCAACTCTGTTCCCACTGCCTGCATGGTGGCATTGAACCTTCCAGAATACTGTTTCCAGTCAGCTGTGGGGTTCATAGGGTGGGACTCTGCAGCCTGGAGAGACCTACAGGTCTGAGTGAGTCACCTCAGGCTGCCCTGATGCTCCATGAGGGACTTGGTCCTCCCACCTCATCCTGCACTGGTTATCAAAGAGAGGTCACATCTGGCTCTCATTTCCCAGCACTTACTGTGAAGAAATAGAGTGGGTGCCTCAGACCAAGATGTTTAACTTCTAGACTTCTTAAATGAGGTGAGCTGGGCTTGATCAGCCTCTGGTACGGCCACTGCAGCCATGGGAGAAGGATCTACACCTCCAGGTTAGAAATTATGCTTCCCAGCTGAATTTGGAGCTCAGCATCTCAGGGGTTCATGCCTATCATTAGGCAGGAAGGAGTAGTGGGTTGGCAAGGGCAGTGCATCCTACGTACCATGTCTTCTGGGTGGGCCAGCAATGTATTTGCACCTGGGACAAACAGCAGCAGTACAAGATGGTCTGTTGGCCTGAAATGCAGCTGTGGTGCATGTGCAGTGCTTGGGATGGTGGAGCGGATCTTGGGAGGAAGATGGGTAAGAGGCTCATGTATAAACCACAAAGGGTATCTGGGGATCACCTGCAATATCCTACTGAGCCCACTCTGACCTGCCATATGTCACCAGGCCCACCCTGGCCATTTCAGGAACGCTGTGAAAGGCTTCTCCAAAACCCAGGCCAAGCCCATTCCTGTGTCTCAGTGCTCAGGAGCCCGCCAGCATCACTTGAGAGCTCTACAGAGAAAGCTTTCCAGAGAGGCCTGTAAATCAGAGGTTTGAACAGACTATTTGTTCCTCAGCCACACGCATCCTAAAGAGGCGTGTGCAGTCTCCTAACAAACAGAAAGCCAAGATCCAGGAAGCAACAGTGCTGGTGTCCCGCTTTGAGCTCTGCTGTGCTCCATGTGTTGCAGCACCTGGAAGCGTGGGTGTGTTGCATGGTCCTGCCGTGCCCTGGGGAAGTCCCAGGAGGCACCACAGTCCCTGCTTTTCTGTCACTGTATACCTCATACTACCTTCCTCCCTGGCTGGCCGGGAAACGCTCCTGTGCTCAGGGCAGCTGCGCACAGCCCTGCGTGCCAGTCACTTACAGCTTTACTATTCACCTGTCTTTATCTCAACCCAGAAGTTTTCACACTTTTACCCTTCCAGCTCTCCCCCCGTGCCCCTGGGAGGCAGGAGGCAGTGGATGCATGGGGCTCGGCTGCCGGCTGGGTTAGACCACGACAGCGTTTCCGTGAGTAGTGTTTGGTTTCTCAGAGCCCCGTATCAAAGTGAACAGCTTTACGGGTGGCCTCAGCACACGCTGATGGGGCCATGGTCAGCTCTCTGCCAGTCCAGCAGCGTATTGTCCTCCTACCCAGAGTAAGGTAGGAGAGTAAAGTCCTCAGGCTTTGCAGGAGATCTAAGCAACATAGCAGCTGTCTTCCTGCAGGAATGAGGAAATGCAAAATCCTTGTCTTTGCAGTCCTGGAGAATGATGACCTTCAGGATGAAGGTGAGGTGGGAAAACTTTCTGGTAAGAACTTTGTTTAATTGCCAGGCAGTGTCTTCAAGGTACAGCCCCGAAAATTAATGATGAAGAAGCTAGTTACGGCTTAGCAAAAGACATGTGCAAATATCTAATGCAAGGGAGAGAGCTGTCTTAAGCTTCCGATTTTAATATGCCTCTTAACCCATAAATGAGGTAACAGTTTCTGTAGACTATCCCACATAATGAGTATCTGGCTAGAAGAGGTCTGTTAGCTAGGGAAAGCTATGCTGTTAAATTAAATCCCACCAATTTAAATTAAAACCTGCCAATTAGATATGTAATGTAAACTGGTCACTTCCCACGGCTTTGCAAAGTTGAGTGCATTAAATTCTCCATGTATTTCACCATGCAGGAGGTTTAGTTGCATAAACAGAGCACTGCTGAATTAAACACATAAAAGCAGGACCTGAATGTATAGTAAGTGCATCATGCGCTAGATAACATTGCTGGATTAGTCCTCCTTTGGTATTTCCTCAGTGCTTCTTTTACCACAAGCTTCTCAGTGCTCCATATGTGGTTTTCCTGCCATTCCAGAGACTGTTACTGTCCTAAACTTCAATCTGCTTCTCTATTAAAACCCCTCTTCCTTTTTCCAGCATACCAGGGCCTCTCTCTGCTCAGTGTTGCCCTCCAACATGCCCCCGTACCTACAGGAAAGGATAAGTTCAGTAATTCCCCAGGCGCTGCTTGCTCTTTCCAGAGCAACAGCCTGGGCTGTTCTCTTGCCAGCTGAAGAAGAATGGGATGTTGACAACAAAATGGATCCGATTGTTTTATTATATATATCTTCCTGCATAATTCACCAGTTGGGCAGGCAGGGTAGTGGGGAGATATTTATAGATACTAGAAATGTCACCAGGGTGTTCATTCTTCATCCTTTGAAAATCATCACAGGAAAGAGTTGGCTGCAAAATGCTACAAGAGGATAGTGAATAATTTGGTGCTTTAGGGGGATAAAAAAATCTGACAGGCGTGAGCTTTTCCAGCCATATCAGCCTAAAGCAGGCAATTAAATACAGCTGGCCCGGCTATTCATTAGGAGCGATACATTAGTCAAAGGTGAACATTTTCTGTTCGTGAGCTCTTGGAGATAGCTGCCCACCTGGCACTTCCAGTGTGCACCTTCCTTCCCGCTCCCTGCCCTTGCTCGAGTGGAAGGGACCGAGCAGCGAAGAGCCCCGTTCCCGACACAGCCCCACGCTGAGGCTCTGGGAGCGGCAGCGCTTGGGATGACGTGCAAGGCAGAACCGAGGTTGGTCTGGACCGGGGCAGGCAGGCAGGGCAGGCAGGGCAGGCAGCTGGGGCAGGGCAGGGCAGGCAGGGCAGGCAGGGCAGGCAGGACAATAGGGCAGCAGGACAGTAGCAGGGGCCCATGTGGTTGCTCATTTTTAGGGAAAGCTGGAGATCCTGTGACGTGACTTCTCCATCACTGGAACAAGTCTCATGAGACTGGTCTCCAGGCCCAGCCCTGAGGCAGCTCTCCTACCCTACAGCCCCTCAGTCCTAACCCCTCTCCTTCATCCTGCCTTCACCACTCACCTCCCCAGGCTTACTGAAACTCCGACCCTGCCAGTGTTGCCCTCCAACATGCCCCCGTACCTACAGGAAAGGATAAGTTCAGTAATTCCCCAGGCACTGCTTGCTCTTTCCAGAGCAAAACCCTGCCTTCTCCACAAAAACCAACACTGGCCATAAAATGAGCAAACACAAAGATTTAAAAAAGCAGGTAAGTGTTTCTGGACCAAAGAAACACCTCTTGCAAGCAGAGTTTTGCTCCTGAAGGCAGAGGAGCCCTGCGGCCATCAGTTCTCTGGTGTTCACACACCACCCTCCAACTAGGGAATTGCTGCTTGGAGGACCTGGGATTTAGCTGGAGGCTGGGGAAAGTGAGAAGTCAGGGTTCCTTATGCAAAAAGTGGCCACATATCTTCAGAATTACTTTTCTTTCAGACCAAGTTGATCTCTCTCACATTTTACCACTCCCCACCAGCCAGGCTGTGTCTGCTGCTGCTTGTGTCCTCCC